CCTGCTCAGCATCTGGCTGCTGGGGGTACTTAAGACTAAAAAAGGTTGAAAACCCCTGTGTTAGTGTAATGGGAAGATAAGGCAAAAGATGGAACATTTAAAAAGACAGCAAGAGTTATATGAGTAAATAATTAAAAAAATAAGTGTTCTGAAAGCAAGAGAAAGACTTGAGAGCTTGTCCACATTGTTAATAGAATGAAAATAAGTAGGTCTAATTCACAATTATAGTTTTCTAATATGATTGCCCTATTTATAAAAAGTCATTTTTTAGTAATTTAACTTATTTTTAAATAAGAGTGTCCAAAAATGGAGTTCTATTGAAAGAATAAATGTGTAAATTACAACTTACTAGTTATTTTGGTTCCATCCTCCATACCAACAAACTTTCTATATAAAAGGATATAAGCCAACTTCCAAACACTGGGGCCTATGTGCAAACTTTCCTTCTAGAAAGGTTGCTCTCTGCTTTCAGGTTTCTTCCTTCAAAACAGCTGCTACTGGCCACTTTCAGAAATAGGAGACTGTTCTAAAACAGGCCATTGATCTGACCCAGTTTCTGCAACTCCTACATTTCTTTAGTCTATTCTGTGCAGTATCCAAGGGATCTTTTAACAGTGAATGCAGAAGACAGGCCTCAAAGGAATAAGCATATGGGCACAGGAATAATATTGGCAAGACAGGAAATACAGCATCAACTTGGTAGAGTCTCTAGCACACGGGTGGGCTGGAGGGCCACTTAAGTTTTGGTAAGCTGTCGAGGGCCACACAAAATCTTTTAGAAAATATAATGTTGACAAATTATAGATGAAAAACAAATCATACTAAAAAAAAAAAAATCAAATCTCTACTGTAACATATTTTAATTTTCTTTAAATAAATTGTCCTGATTTATGTTTTTTAAGCAGTGTATATAGAGATGCTTGCATAGTACGTCAAAATAAAGTCTTACTCTTGTACATTGTGTGCGTGTGTGTAGGGGGGGTTGTGTGTGTAGGGGGGGTGCACATGTGTGGGGGCACTGCCCAC